TGTAAAGCTGGTTTACAGCACCAATGATTTTGTTTTTATAAATTCTTTTAAGAAATGCTCTCATCCACACACTTATTGGCACAGAGAATAACACTAAGCAACTAAGCCCATGTGTCACAACTATTGAGCCTGAGGTCTAGAGCCCACAAACCACAACTACTGAGCCTGCATGCTACAACTACTGAAGCCCACGCACCTAGAGCCCGTGCTCTGCAACAAGAGAAGCCACCGTATTGAGAAGCCCACGCGCTGCAACGAAGAGTAGCTCCCGCTCGTCACAACTAGAGAAAGCCCACGCGCAGCGACAGAGACCCAACACAGCCAAAAATAAACTAATTAATTTTTTTGAAAAAAACAGATTTGCTAACGCTCCCTGAGATCATAAAACTACAATTTCAAGTGTTGGGTGTCACCATTTAAAAAGCACGGAAAGCAACACCATAGGCGATGCGTAGTAATCACAGGATGGATTTTGAATGTTCTGGTGTTATGAGCAGGGGTCCTTGTGGTCTGGGATAAAATTCCCATTAACAGCATCACACAACAGATGAAAAGAATGCTGCATCTCAAACAAATTGGAAGAAAAGATCGTTTGCTCTTGATTTGTTCGGTGACTACAAAAGTCAACGTTCAACAGTGAATTGGAAGTAAAGATCGTTTGCTCTTGATTTGTTCGGTGACTACAAAAGTCAACGTTCAACAGTGAATTTGAAATGTGTGCAACACTCATGAAACATGAAGGTAACGGGGGGAAAGCTCATTTCTTGGTTTATAGATGAACAAATTTGAAACACATAGCTAATGTTAAAAGTAGGTATTTTACCACCTCATCTGCAACCCTAAAAGTTAAATGTTTAAGTTGGGCAGAAAGAAAGCTTTTGGGAGGATCTTCCTTCACATTGGAAGAAGAGGCATTGTCTGTTCAATTTAGTCTCAGTATAGTCAAGCATACATGATATTGAAACCATAAAAATTGACGAGATCATTCTATTTTCAAAAAGGCAAGTACCCTAATTTATCTTAATAAAATGTGATTAAAAAACAGAATTACTATCTTCATGGGTGGCTTACGGAACCAATGCACTGAAGTTAGAGGCAGTTATCATTAGATTAGTCTGAGATTTAGTACCTTTCTTACATTAATTCAAATCTATTTCAATTAGATTCTTAAGGTTATCCAGCAAAAAATAAAGTTTATATTCCCAAACTTTTTTAAAAGATCAAACTTTTAAATACATGTAAACCATATCTTACTAAGTAAATATGTACCAAGGGCTGCTGACAGTAGAGCAGAATTTCATCATTAATTCAACACTCTCAATAGGAATTTGACTATGTAAAATTAAGAGGCAAGGAAAGTGTTTATACCTTTTTACTTAGTAGGCATACTTCTAGGTTTCTAAATAAAGCAATTAAATAGTGGAATGATTGCATAATTATGATATTCCACTCAATGAATTATTACACAGCTATTTTTAAGTGGTAAATATCAACACTACATTTAAGTTACTTGTAACACATATGAGAAGACTGGATGGGAATATTAAAAAAACAGCTAGTACGTCAGGCAGCAAAAATTGCAAGTGACTCTTCCAAAACTTTCAGCAGTGTTGTCTTAGCACTACTTTTATAGTAAAAAAAAAAAAAAAAAAATTTGACTATCTAATACCATGTTGTATAAGCATACGGGGAAAAACAGAGGCACACACTATACTGTTAACACCAGTTATTGATTGGGTTTAGAGAAGACAACTTTTTTCATTATGTATCTTTTAATTTTTAAATTCTTAATAGAAACATTTTTAAGTTAAAAATATTTTAAATGCCTCTTGAAAACACTCATGCCCTTACCATAAAATACAATAACAAATTGGCAATCTGGCCTATTTGAGTTAAAAAAAAAATAGTATTAGCACCCATCCCCTTCTACAGTAAGTATCCTAAATGGTGCAATAGTATTCATTGCCCAGAGCCTGCCTCTCGATTTTAAACAGTACACCTTGACGGCAGCCATGGACTGTGCTGTTTGTGGAGTGACACAAAGGCGCATCATGGCAATGCCACATAGAAAACACACCAGCAGATCTAGTAAACACACTGGTAGCCTGTAGAAATCTTCAGGATGAAAAACATCGGAGCAAGGTCAAGCTTTGTATTCTTCTTTATTTAAAAATCAAAAAACTATTTTTGTGATGCAACCCACACTTTCCCCTTCTAAGTAGCTTTTCAGATCACTTTCAAATTAACTACAAAAAACCCTTTCTCCCAACAGAAAGGAAAGCTTTTATAGTAAAGTATTGAGTCATCTCCTGGGATCCCAAGATATGCACCTGATATTGAGTATCTGGATAGAAAGGGCAACTCTAATTTTAGTCTTAAAGAGCAAAGCTGTCAGTGACTAAGAATCACCAATGTAATTTGAAGGATTCATTTGTTCTTTTATGCTTCTTTGAGGTTCTTCCGGAGGTGCATTTATAGATTTAGAAGGATTAAAGGAAGCCATTCTAGAACAAATCCCTCCAGAGGGCCCCAATTACAAGGTCATGAGAGGAACCTGGTGGAAATTCTGGAAGACTAGGGTCTAAGGGACAAAGGGTCATTCAATTCAGTTGCTTCTTCCCTTCACATGGAAGGAAGGAATTAATTTCTGTTCCTTTAAGATAACTGAGAATTAAGAGAACTTAACTGTTTTTCAAACTGAACCATTAGAAATATTGTTTCTAATGAGCTTCAAAACCAGATTATCTACTCAAGTATTCATAACAGCATTTATTCCTAAAAACTAAAAAAAGTGCAAATAACCTAAACATCCCTCAGCTGATGAACTGACAAACAATGTCGTACATTCACACAACGGAACACTGTTTAGCCATGAAATAAAGCATTGACACATGCTACAACATGGATGGACCTTGAAAACATTATGCTAAATTAAAGAAGCCACTCACAAAAGACCACATATTGTATGATTCCACTTATGTGAAATATCCAAAACAGGCAAATCCATAGACACAGAAAGTAAATTAGTAGTGGCGTAGGCTGGGGGAGGTTTTTTTGTGAGATGCTGAAATGGCCTAAGATTAGATTATAGTGATGGTTGCACGATTCTGAATATACTGCAAAATCACCAAACTGCAATCTTTAAATGAGTGAATTTTATGGTATGTGAAACATATCTCAATAAAGTTGTAAAAAAAAAAAACCTTAACACTAGCTGTTTGGTTTTAGCAAATAAAACGTACAAATGTAAGCTTAATTGTACTAAGTAGGGAAGGAAACTGTATCAACATATCTATTAAATAATTATCTAGAAGTTCAAATCCAATTACGCCTCAAAAGAAAACAATTCACGCTTCTACCGAGCAGTTACAAGTTCCAAATACATAACACTGTCATTAAGCAGATAGTAGAAATGCCTTTTAATCCTTGACAGCTGTGTCCATGAGATCAATGATTGATTGATTAACTGGAGTTTCACTTTCCAGTGATTTCAGGGGCAGCACATCCTGAGGTAGCTGGACAAAGTAAGTCTATATATTTAGACAGTAACTGATTCAGAGGGTTAGCATAGCTTTTCTGAAGGCTCATCTAAGAGTGTATAGAAAGGCTGTAGTAAAGTAAGGAAGCTCTCTTTAGAAAATCGCGTTTGGAATTGGTCTAAATTGGGGGGCCGAAGCTGGAAGAGAATAACCAGTGGTCCTTCGAGATTCCCATCTCTATCAATTGAGTCCACCTGAAGGGGTAGAGCCCAGAAACCTGTACATTTAGACAAGCTCCTCCGGAGGCTGACATGGCAGGTAAGGGATCGCAGTCCCGGTCACCACCCCTCAGCTCACCAACAGGAAGGCAATCAAAGAGGTGCTCCCCTTTACTAGTTAGATCATCTCTATTTTTTCTTTTCTTTTTTAAAAATTTTATGTATTTATTTTTGGCCACGCTGTGCGGTATATGGGATCTTAGTTCCCTGACCAGGGACTGAACCCGCACCCCCTGCATTGGGAGCGTGGAGTCCTAACCACTGGACCACCAGGGAAGTCCCCTGGATCATCTCTTGATATTCTTAGTTTCCTACCAGTATATCTTCTTACAGACAAATAAATAAGAAGTGATCATTTTTGACACATTAAAAATCTCTTGAACAGGGACTTCCCTGATGGCGCAGTGGTTAAGAATCTGCCTGCCAGTGCAGGGGACACGTGTTTGAGCCCTCGTCCGGAAGATCCCACACGCCACGGAGCAACTAAGCCCGTGTGCCACAACTACTGAGCCTGTGCCCGGAGCCCGCGAGCCACAACTACTGAGCCCGTGCACCTAGAGCCTGTGCTGCGCAACAAGAGAAGCCACCGCAAGGAGAAGCCCGTGCACCGCAACAAAGAGTAGCCCCCGCTCGCCGCAACTAGAGAAAGTCCGCACGCAGCGACGGAGACCCAACACAGCCAAAAATCAATCAATCAATCAATCAATCAATCAACAATCAATCAATCTCTTGAACGTTGTGAACACGGGATTAATACATCAGGCATTTTTTATGTTCTGATGGGACAGTAAAGAATTCTTTTAAATTGGGATATTATCTTTGATAGTCTTTAAAATGTAATCTTTGGTCTTAGTCAAGAGAATAATGGAGTCTTAGGAGCGATATTTAAGTTTAATTTAATACAAACATCACACACTTCTACCTTCTCGGAAATGGTTGCTTCATCTTAACTAAGGAAATGGAAAACTATTATGACTTAAGTCTTCATTCTGTGATTTGTGTGTTTGGACAAGTTTAGGCAGACAGCAAAAGCTCCAGAGGTCCTGCCACCAAACCTACAGCATTGAGAAAATGCTAAAGCCAAGTCAATTCTCCATCTGGCAGTTCCATATGAGCTGCGAAAACCGTCCAGTGAGTCCTTCAACTCCACGTCATCTAGATTCCTCGGGGTCTGGAATCTCGGGGTTGTTTTGACTTTCCCTGGACAGCCGCCCAGGACGCACGAGCTCTTCCACCGGCCCCTTCAGTTAGCCTGGGCAACTCTGCTCTCGGAACCGTGGAAGTTCAACATCGTTGTCACCAGCTCCGGGAGGTCAAAATCGTGCTTCCAGCCCCAGTCCTTCCGGGCGTTGCTATCATCAAAGTTCATTGGCCAACTATCGGCTAGGACAAGATATGGAAGAGGAGCTTAAGTTATTCAGGCTCTAAATTTGCAAAAAGGTCTAGAACATTTTAAATAAAGGATTATCATCCACAAAAGAAACGTCCTATTTGAAATCCCCCCTTGAGCAGAGCAGAGCAGCTATTACGGGCACACACACAGTCACCTTCTTAGATTAGAAGTCTGTCACCTTGGAGGAAAGTCTCATGCAGACCTGTAAGGTGGGGCTGCTATGCTCAGATGGCACTCACACAGGGGCACAGTCACAGCCTTTGAGAACCCAGGCTGCTCTCATACTACACCTGCTTGTTTTACGTTTAAACTGGCAAATGGTGAAGTGCCGACAAGCTGTTTACTTGGATGGTTCTAGTTCACCCACTTTAGACATCATTTCCCCAAACTGCAGCATCTGCTGGCTCTGGTGCAACAGCAGCTCCTTCTCCAGAAGGTGTCGGGCCCCTTGGGAAGGTGCTGAGCTCTCCTTATCTTCCTCCGTTTATGTTCTCAAGGACTTGTGGGGCGGACTGAAGCTTAATTTTGGCTTTGAGGGGTTCTGTAATGGTGTACCAACCTATGGCCTGTCGGACAGGATCCACGTTGTAGGTGATCTGGAATTCTGGAACGTGCTTGAGAATCTCCTGGGCCAGCTCCGCGGGGGTGAAGCTCATGGCATTGACATTGTAAGTCCTCATGGAGAGGGACTCTGCCGGAGCCTCCATGACCTCCAGGGTGGCCCGGAGGCAGTCATCAATGTACATCATCGGGAGCCTCGTGCTGGGTTTCAGGTTGCACTCAAATCTGCCATTCTTGACGGCGTCATGGAAAATCTGGACCGCGTAGTCTGAAAGAGAATCTGGTCTGTGGGTCTTCTCATAACAAAATGGTGAGTGAGCCTCTTGCATTGAGGCAGTGGTTCTCAGATGTCTTAGTCTCAGCACCTCTTTATGTGCTTAAAAATCACTGAGGATCCCCAAAGAGGTTTTATTAAGGTGAGCTGTAGCAACATCTACTATATCAGAAATCAACTGAGAATTAAAAAAAATATTTCTGCATTTTAAAATGACAATAATAAGCCCACACATTCACATGTATAATATTTTATGTGGAAAAGAACATATTTTCCAAACAAGAGAAAATTTAGTGAGAAGAACAGCGTGTTTTACATTTTGAAAACCTCTCTACTGTCTTAATGGGCGACAGCGGGAATCTCTGCTTCTGTGTTCAGTCCACTGCGCTACACACATCACGTAGCCTCTGAAAAACTCCACGGTGTACTTGTAAAGGAGAGTGAAAAGGGCAAATAACATCTTAGTACTGACAGGAAAGTTGTTTTGACCTCCTGGACCCCTTGAAAGGGTCTCAAGGATTCCCAGGGGTTCCTAGTGCATACTTGGAGATGCACCACATTAAGGTAAAAATTTTTAAAGTAACCAAAACCAAAGGCTCTTTTAAAATCCCTCAAATTTTAATTGAAGATATTCAAAGAAATGGGAAGATATCCCATGCTCTTGGACTGGAAGAATTAGCATCGTTAAAATGGACATACTACCCAAAGCAATCTACAGATTTAATGCGATCCCTATCAAATTACCCATGACACTTTTCACAGAACTAGAAGAAATAATCCTAAAAGTTATATGGAGCCACAAGAGACTCAGAATTGCCAAAGCAATCCCAAGGAAAAAGAACGAAGCTGGAGGCACGACCCTCTCGGACTTCAGACAATACTACAAAGCTACAGTAAAAAACCCCTTGGATTTTGTCAAGTATCTTTTACATTGTATCTCAGAAGCCCTCATACGGGAGGGATCTCTAATGTGGGAGTTACTGAATATAACACATGCTCAAGTCCAAAACGATAACAACAACAGTGTGGAAACAGTAGGAAGGGTCCTCAAAAAACTAAAAATAGAACCACCATATGACCTGGGTACATATTTGAAGAAAACGAAAACACCAATTCAAAAAGATACACACAGCCCAACGTCCCTTGCAGCACCATTTACAATAGCCAAGACATGGAAGCAACCTAAGTGTCCATCGACAGATGAATGGATAACGAAGATGTGGCATATGTGTGTGTGTGTGTACACACACACACACACACACACACACACACACACACACACACACTGAAATACTACTCACTCATAAAAACGAATGAAATTTTGCCATATGCAACAACATGGATGAACTTGGAAGGTATTTTGCTTACTGAAATAAGTCAGAGAAAAACAAATATATGATATCACTTATATGTGGGATCTAAAAAATAAACAGACTAGTGAATATAACAGAAAAGAAACAGACTCCCAGACGTAGAGAACAGACTAGTGGTTACCAGTAGGGAGAGGGAAGTGGGGAGGGGCAAGATAGGGGTAGCGGATTAAGAGGTACAAACTACTATGCAGAAACCAAATAAGCTACAAGGATAAATTGTACAGGCAAGGGAATATAGCCAATATTTTATAACTATAAATGGAATACAACCTTTAAAAACTGTGAATCACTATGTTGTACACCTGAAACATATATAATATTGTAAATTAACTATTCCTCGGTAAAAGAAAAAGGAAAAAAATGAAGTTAACCAGGCCTGGTGCTCCACTCACCAATGAAGAATACAGGCTCCTAAACAGACAAGTAACCAACTGCACTAGAGATGAGCAGTAACCCACTCTCATTTTGGGGCAAGCTTTTCTGAAATAAAAACTAAGACAATTTGGATAAACGGCAATAAGCACAATGACAAGAGCAGCGGGAGCAATGCTTATGTTCTTTCTAAATATGCAGAGTCCATTTTAATAGGACTCTCTGTATTAAGAAACAAAGGTATATTCAAAGAAAGAGGCTTTTCTTTTCTGGCCGCACCACGCGGCTTGTGGGATCTTAGTTCCCCGACCACGGACTGAACCCAGGCCCACAACAGCGAAAGCGCCAAGCCCTAACCACTGGACCGCAGGGGAATTCCCAAGAGGTGATTTCTCATTTGGTGTCTTCCTACATTGTGGGTAACAAACTCGAATGTCAGTTTGACTCCGGCACTGTGGGTGGCCAATCCCACCGGACTTACAGCATCGGCATGAGTTTAAGTTTAAGTCAGTAGGGTTCAATGAACTTCTCAGATGCACTTCCCAGAAACGATGCAAAAACTCCGGTCAGCGTAAGACTAAAAAGACAACAGATCCATCTCCACTTTGCCCGGCCATTAGAAAGCTTATCTTATGTAAAAAAAGAAATCGAAAATAACACTTACCAGTCGTTCCTCCTCCAGGTTGGGAGTCAGCAGAAATGATTCCAGGATATCTCAGGCACCGGAAATCTAACCCATGCCTGTAATAATAATACTACAAAAAAAGAGAAAACTTACTTTAAAAAGAATCTTTTAAATCAGGTAGAGCAATGCAAAGAAATAACAGCCTTTTCCTGAAACTTCATCCCATACAGTCATATTAAAATCCTCCTAGAACTTCCGTGGTGGTCCAGTGGCTAAGACTCTGTGCTCCCAATGCAGGGGGCACAGGTCAATCCCTGGTCAGGGAAATAGATCCCACATGCTGCAACCAAAAAAAAAAAAAAAAAAAAAAAAAAATGATCCTGCATGTTGCAACGAAGATCCCGCACAGCCAAATAAATATTTTTTAAGTGAAAAAAATAAATAAATAAAAATAAATCCTCCTCAAGGAAATGAAGGTTCTAGAATTGCTAACAGTCACTCATTTTTCTTTAACAAATAACCCTGAAGTTTTTATCTTCAAAGAATCGTCATTCTGGTGATAACATCACTAGATAACACTGTAAATAACAGATCAGCCGAGAGTAAGGATTTCCAGCCTTTCTTTGGAAGGGAGACCCTGCACAAAGTCCTGAAGAAATCTCCACAAGCCTGTCCTGCGGTGCAGCACAGGGAAGAGTACAGGGAAAGATGGTGACTGTGATATATCAGATGAAGGATCAGAAACCGGCTTAAATGTGCTATAGCATTATAAAGACAAAGAGTATTAAAAAATAAAACCAAAAAGACATCTGGTTATTTTTAAATTACCTCTGATAACTACCGATATTGGGAACCTGAAAGAACAGTGCAGTACAAATAAGATGGGCAGCAAACGAAAGACGGGGTGCCATTCGAGGGGCGTGTACGAAGTGTTGTGTTAGCACAGGACTGAGGATTCCTCTGGAGCTGCCGGTACTGACCACTTGGCAAACACACTCAGTCCCCGAGCATTTCTGGGGGCAGAGATTCAGGGAGGGAGAGTCTCCTCCAAGGATGAACCAGCAGGTGTTTGAGGCAGAAATAGAAAAGGAAACACTGAGTCATCTTGCCAAGTGATGCTTACCTCGCCCATGAGCTCCGCGTGGACCTTGGACACCCCGTAGATAGTCCTGGGTCTCTGGATACAGAGATCGGGGGTGGGGTTCCGCGGAGAAGTAGGTCCAAACGCCCCTATGGTGCTTGGCACAAACAATCGCAGACCGTGCTCCTCGGCAACGTCCAGGACATTGTGCAGTCCTGAAACAAGCAGATGTCGTAAACTGGGAAACCTCTTCCCAAAGAACTGGGAAATCTGGCAGACGGGTCATCTGGGGCAAGATCCAGAGACTCACCAGTGATATTCACAGCTCTGGCCAGGGACACGTTTGCTTCTCCCACTGCACTGAGCAGGGCGCTGTAATGAAACAGCCAGGTGACACGGTTGTTCACCACGATCTCCCGCAGATTCTTGTAATCCAGGATGTCGGAATAAATAAACGGGCCTGCAAGGAGCAGTGAAACCAGGAAGTAAAAGAGTTCCGGGCTTGGAAAGCTCAACAGATCTCTTCCCCTCCCCCGCTGATTTTGAATTCCATTGGTACCGGCTTGGTAGCAACAACTTGGACACTCCCCAGCATTTTCCTTACGGAGAATAACAAATCCCAGCCACCCCACGGCTAACAGCAGGCTAATGCTTATACAGGACATACACCTGCTGGGTGCTGTTCTAAGGGCTTTCTGTATATTTAACTCTCACAGGCTTCGAGGCGGATATTTTGTTGATGAGGAAACTGAGGCATAGAGAGGTTAAGTAGCTTGCCAGTATCAAACAGAATAAAATTAAGAACTGGAGTAATGACCAGGCAACTGGTTTGAGTTGCCAAACCTATAGGCACACAGAGATTTCACCCTGCTTAAAAGTTGCATAGGGCTTCCCTGGTGGCGCAGTGGTTGAGAATCTGCCTGCCAATGCAGGGGACACAGGTTCGAGCCCTGGTCTGGGAAGATCCCACATGCCGCAGAGCAACTGGGCCCGTGAGCCACAACTACTGAGCCTGCGTGTCTGGAGCCTGTGCTCCGCAACAAGAGAGGCCGCGACAGTGAGAGGCTTGCGCACCGTGATGAAGAGTGGCCCCCACTCGCCACAACTAGAGAAAGCCCTCGCACAGAAACAGACCCAACAGAGCCAAAAATAAATAAATAAATAGCGTTCCCTTTACAAAAAAAAAAAAGTTGCATAGTTTAGGACTTCCCTGGTGGTCCAGTGGTTAAGACTCTGCGCTTCCAGTGCAGGGGGCACGGGTTCAATCCCTGGTTGGGGAAGATCCACATGCCGCGTGGTGCAGCCAAAAAAAAAAAAAAAAAAAGTTGCATATTTTCAAGGAATAGAGAAATGGGTTTACAAAAACAAAAAACCCACCATGGTATAAAAGAATTATAAATTAAGAGTTCGCCACACCTGGTTGGGCTAGAGGTAGAGCCGATTTTGTGCCAATTTCCCCCACTTTCAG